GTTTAAGAGCCGTGAGGTTATGCTGCAGCTCTATAAAACTCTGGTTAGACCACAGTTGGAATATTGTGTTCAGTTCTGGTCACCTCATTATAGGAAAGATGTGGAAGCTTTAGAGAGGGTGCAGAGGAGATTTACCAGGATGCTGCCTGGACTGGAGGGCAGGTCTTGTGAGGAAATGTTGAGGGAGCTATGGCTTTTTTCATTGGAGCGAAGGAGGATGAGAGGTTACTTGACAGAAGTTTATAAGTTTTGATGAAAGACACAGATAGAGTGGATAGTCAGAGACTTTTTCACAGGGCAGAAATGACCATTACGAGGGGGCATAATTTTAAGGTGATTGGAGGAAGGTATAGGGGAGATGTCAGAGGTAGGTTCTTCACACAGAGTGGAATGCGCTGCTGGCAGTGGTAGCGGAGTCAGATACTTTAGAGACTTTTAAACGACTCTTGGATAGGGACATGGAGGATAGTAAAATGTAGGGTATGCAGGGTAGATTGATCTTAGTAGGATAATAGGTCGGCACAATATCGTGGGCCAAAGGGCCTGTACTGTGCTGTACTATTCTATGTTCTATGAGTTAGCTTTCTTTTTAGAAAGATCAGGTAGTGTTTTTTGCTGGAGGAGAAAAATCCATAGCTTGGAATGTTCAGTTTATAGAACTGGTGGTTGAAGTTAGCCATATAAAACAGTTTCTCCTAGAGTTAGAATCATAGAATCCCTCCAGTACAGACAGAGGCCATTCAGCCCATCAAGTCTCCACCAATCTTTCGAAGAGCATTCCACTCCATCCTGTATTTACCATAGCTAATCCACCTAGCCTACACATCCCACTATAGGGCAATTTAATATAGCCAATGCACCTAACCTGCACATCTTTGGACTGTAGAAGGAAACGGGAGCATCCGGCAGAAACCCATACAGGCACGGGAAGAACATGCAAACTCAATACAGACAGTCACCTAAGGCTGGAATCACTGTGCCATTCAAAAAAGATAGCTCAAACAAGTTAGGAGATAGATTCCCTCAGTGTGAGGAATTTATGTTGAAAGTTCCAGACCTGTAGTGTTTGATTCGAACCCTGAAGATGTTATTCAAATTTTAAAAAGTCTGAAACAGAGATTGCTGGAGAAACTCAGCAGATCGGGCAGCAGTTGTGGGAAGATGAGTTAATGTTTCAGTTCTGATGAAGAATCACTGGATTTGAAATGTTACCTCTGTTTTCTTCCCAAGGTTGCTGCCAAACATGCTAAGTTCCTCCAGCAATTTCTGCATTGTTTCAGATCTCCAGCATCTGCAGTTCTTTGTTTTATTTATTTGAGAAAGTCTAAGCTTATTCATGTGATTATTTAAAAAAGTCTAGCAAACTCTTACTAAGGTCACATTAAGAGAAACAATCAAGATAAACCTGAGTTGTGATGCAGAAACAAACTTTCTCTGGTGTTTGAATACTGTTAAGTTATGGTGTTGGGATAGATGAGTTTGTATTTTTACTGTGTGTTTTGAAACCTTTCAGATTGTGCTAATTGCAAATAGCTTATACAGTCATAGAGTCATATAGGACAGAAACAGACCCTTCGGTCCAACCAGTCAACGCCGACAATAATCCAAAACTAATCTAGTTCTACCTGCCTGTGCTTGGCCCATATCCTATCAAACATTTTTTATCCATGTACTTAACTAAATGTATTTTTGACTGTTATAAGTGTACCTGCATCCATCACTTCCTCTAGAAGTTCATTCCACACACAAACCACTCTCTGTCTTTATTAAATCTTTCTCCTCTCACCTTAAAAATATGCTCCCTAGTCTTGAAATCCCCCATCCTAGGGAAAAGCCACCTACCATTCACCTTATCTACACCCATCATTGTTTTATAAAACTCTATAAGGTTACCTCTCAACCTCCTAAGCTCCAGCGAAAAAAGTCCCAGCTTTAACTCAACGTCTCCATTCCCAGCATCATCCCAGTAAATCTCTTCTGAACCCTCTCCAGTTTAATAATATTCTTCCTATAACAGTGCTCCAGAACAGACCTCACCAATGTCCTGTACATCCTCAACATAATGTTCCAACTCCTTTATTCAAAGGTTTGGAGCACTGAAGACAAGCATGCTAAATGCCTCCTTAACCACCTTATCTATCTTTGACGCAAATTTCAAAGACTTATGTATCTGATCCCCTGGGTCTCTCTGTTCTACAACAGAGTTAAGGCGCTATTTTTAATTGTATAACTTTTTGTTTTTCAAACATGTAATATCTCATATTTATCCAAATTAAACTCCATCTGCCATTCTTCAGCTCATTGACCCAATTGTTCACAATTTCTTTGTAATCTTGGATGACCTTCTTCACTGTCCAATACACCACCAATCTTGATGTCATCTACAGACTTAATAACCATACTTTGTATAATCTCATCTAAATCATTTATATGATTGACGAATGAAAGTAGACTCAGCACCAGACCCTGTGGAAAAACAACCCATCACCATCATTCACTTCTCTCCAGTTGTTAAACTAATTATGTATCCAACTGGCAAGCTCACTCTGAATCCCACGTAATCTAGCTTTACTAATTAGTTTACCATGTGGAAACTTGTCAAAGGCTTTATTAAAGTCCAAGTAAACAATGTCTACCACTCTGCCCTTGTCAATCTTCTTGGTTACTTCCTCAAAAAACTCAACCAAGTTTGTGAGATGCAATTTCCCTTGCACACAACCATGCTGACTATCCATAATCATTTCTTGCCTCTCCAAATGCATATAAATCCTATATTTCAGAATCACTCCCAACAACCTATCCACCATCTAAGTCAGACTCACAGGTATATAGTTCCAAAGGTTCTCCTTATATCCCTTCTTAAACAAAGGCACAACATTAGCTACTTTGCAGTCACCTGGCACCTCACCCATAGTTATAGATGATACAAATATTTCTGCAAGGTGCCCCACAATTTCCTCCCTAATCTCCCACAAAGTCCTGAAATAAAACTTGTTTTATTCCATTTTATCCTCTTTTCTTTTGGGTAATAAACTTCTATTTTATTGCTAAAACCAAATGTACAGCATTACGTGTCTGTGTTTCAGTGAAAAAAAACCTCATTAAAATATTTATATTATCTAGCAAGGTACATTTTAGTTTGAGATCTTACTTTTCCAGCAATAACATTAGCTGGAATCATAATGCCACTAAGGCATTTAAAAGTCCTGCTCTTTAAATCTCTAAGTAAAAAAAAGTGTTAAGTAAATGATGGTTCGCGATTGCGCTCTGTCTTTCGTCACAAGCCTGTGGGCTTCCAATTCTGGGTCACTGATGCATGAGTGATTCCACAACTGACCATTCTTGCATCAGTGTGTGTTTCATTTCATTTTTTTGATTGACAGCTACAAATAGTTGTAGACTATTTGAAATGTGACTATGAATTCCAAAGCTTGTTTCACAATGGTTTGTACGCTTGAATGAAATATTTATTGTCATAAAACTTTAAAATTTATTTAGTTGAAGGGATAAAATGTAGGAAATGATTTTTTATGTATCTATTTTTAATCAATTCTGTTCCAAAGATGAGTCATTGGATTGAATCATTTAACCCTGTTTCTTTCTCCAAAGATACTGCCAGACCTGCTGAACTTCTCCAGCAATTTGTTTTTATTTTTGACTTTGCTTGCTTGAAATCTATTAGTGATGTTTTCTGAGGTAACTTTTGTCAATGCCTCAATGTATATTTGCACACAATTAAGAAGTGTATTGTGCTTGAAGACTCAGTTATTGAGGCTTTAATGATCTGCCTGACTGACACTTTTATAGGGTAATAGGAACAACAGTGATTTTCAAAGATGATTTTTGAATATTTGTTTCTCGGAGCAGCTCCTGATGTAACATCTGATTTGATTGGTTCTGTACATAAAATGGATATGGAAAGTCCACGAGTTGGCATGAGTTAGCAACGTGGGTATGAGGGATAATAGGGATACTACAGAGTCAGGGTTTGACTTGGAGTACATAAAGGGGGCATGGGCAGCATGCATAAGACCTTTTAAACTTATCTTTCAAAGTGTCCTAAATCCACAAATGCTCTGAGGGGCCATGTACTATACAACATCGAGAAGTGGTCTGACTCCACAAAAGTTGTAGGGACCAGAAGATGTCCTCTCCTGCAATAGAACGGCTAGGTCAGGACTAGAGGGGTGTAATTTCCCTAAAATACCCATCCAATTACCTCCCAAAATCATTTATCATTTACATTTCGACCATTTGGATAGGAAGTGAGCTCCAGATTATTAGTACTCATTGGTTTATCATATTCCCCTTGCACTTTACCAAAATTTTAAAGGGGTGCCCTCTGGTCTTTGTGCTATTTATTTATTTATCTAAAACTGTCATAATGTTCAACACGTCTATCAAATCTCCCCTCAATCTCCTTTGTTTCAAGGAGAACAAAGCTGCTTCTCCAACTGTGGGTAGCTAAAATTTCTCAATTCTAGAACCATTACCGTGAAGTTATTTTGCACCCTCTGCAGAACACTTAATCATGGCTTTGAATGAATACTTTGCATCCATCTACACAAAAGAGGGGCAGGGTTATACAGGCCTTGTAGTTAAGGAGGTTATATGTGAAATATTGGTTTTAGCATTCTTGATAATGGATAAGTCATCAGGCCCATTTGAAATGCATGCTGAGAATGCTAAATAAAACAAGGGGGGAATTAATGGAGGCATAGAATATCACTTTTCAATCTCCAGGCTATTGTGTGTGTTGCCTGAGAAGTGGAGAACTTCTAACATTGTACTATTGTTTACAAGGGATGAAAAGACAGACAAAGTAATTGTAAAGCAGCCAATCACACTTTGGGAGTGGTAAATTTATTGAAAAAGATCCCAAGGGACAGTATAAATCATCATTAAGAAAGGAACAGACTCATCAAGGACAGTAGACATGGATATGGTCAAAGGTGATCAAAGCTGATTAAATTGCTTGATTTTTCTTATCAACCAAGAGTTCAGCCAATGAGAATAGCATGTTCAATGTAGTCTGCATAGATTTTAACAAGGTTCCACTTGGTATACTGGCCAAAAATGTAAGCTTGCATGTGATTCAAGGACAAGCGGAAAGTTGGATCTACAAGTGGCCCATTGGTATAATGCAAAAGGTAATGCTCGAAAGGTGTTTTTGTGACTGAAACAGTATTTCTGGCAGAGTACGCAGGTATCAGTACTAGATCCTTTGATTTTCATGGTATATCACAATCATTTGAAATTAAAAGTGAAAGGCATAATTGAGATGAATTTAACTGAGTTACAAAAGAATCTAAGTGGCTTGGAAGGACCTATTTCCATTAGCTTTGTAACAATGGGGCACAGATTTATAATAATTGACAGGTTTGGATTGGCATTGAGGAGATTTGTTTTTCAGCCAGAGAATTGTGGGTGTCTGAAATACATTGCCTGGAAAGGTGGCAGAGTCAGGAAACCTAATCATATTTCATAAAAAAAGGGTATGGACACATAGCGCAGTGATCGACTGGAGTTCAGAGCTACGAAGTGAGATTAGTTTGGAAACTTTTTTTTGGCTGGCAATAGTCCAAATAATCTCCTCCTGTGCGACACAATTTTGTGCTTCTATTCTGAACTTATAGAGTCATAGAGTTATCAGGCACAGAAACAGACCCTTTGGTCTAACTCATCCATGCTGACCAGATATCCTAAATTAATCTGTTCCCACTTGCCAGTGTTTGGCTCATATCCCTCTAAACCCTTCCTATTCATTTACCTCTCCAGATGCCTTTAAATGTTGTAATTGTACCAGCCTCCACCACTTTCTCTGGCAGCTCACTCCGAAAAAGTTACCCCGGAGATATATAACAACTTGGATATATAATATCAACTGTAATACAAGCCAGAAAAGCTGTGATACAGTGAACTATTAGAATTGTCTAAGAAACCTCAGATATTAGTTTGACCAGAAAATGAAGTTGATTATAATATCAATTTATAATACATTGAACCAATGATGCTGAGTTACAGCAATTTTTTTTTAAATTATCAGAATGTGGGCAATACTGACATTTATTATCCAAGATTTGATACAACTGAGTGTCTTGATATGCCAGTTCAGAGGTTATTTAAAAGTAAGTCAGTGTGGCACCAGATTCACGCTTAGACCAGGACTAGCAACAGCAGTTGTTCTTTTTTGACAAACTATCAGTTTCATGGTTACTCTTACCAAACTTTTAGAATTTACGGTTTTTCAACTTAATTCAAATTTTCAAGCCACCATTGAGACATTAGAGTTCTTGCTCTCTGAATTATTAATCCAGGCTTCTAGATTAACTGTTCAATATAATCACTTCATTACTGTGGTACTTCTAAGATTCTAAAGTGATATGCTGCTGGAAACAGTTTTTTTTGGTGCAAAGTCTTCTGAAATCAACAAGTATTAAAGGGCATTACTTTATGAAAAATACATTTATATTTTTACACTTACTGCAATTATACAGTCTGTTTATCTTTATAATATCTAATTCAGAAAGCCCTCTTATTTGTCCAATAGGTACCGTTCGATTTGGTTTGGGCAGAATGGTGGGAAAACCATGACCTTTCGAAAAAACATACCTGTTTAGAAAAATGAAAAATTTAGTTTCTTTTTTGAAACGAAATGTTGCTGCTTTCCCATATGAAGTGTTAGAAAGCAAAAACAATATTACAAATAAAGCTTTGTTCATTTGCATTTAAGAACTGATAATCAGTAATGTTTACTCCCTCTCACCAAGCATCAACAAAGAAAATGTATAAATAAATCAAATGTGAAATGAAAAGATGCTAGTCAACTGTCTTTGAGATGCCACTGTGTCATTCAATGTCTTTTTCAAATTCAGGCAAGCTGTTTAACCAACTGCACTGACAAAGGATGATAGTGCCACCATTGCCAATTGGGTATAAGTCTAGAACCAGTGTTTGGTCAAATGAAATAGACTTTGCTGTTACAGTGCATGTAGAACAGTTAGTTAGTTTTCCCCTGCATTCTTCAGCTCCAAACATTTCTGCCTGTTAGGCTGCAAATAAATATCACCTGATAATTGGGATCCTAGGATATCTGTAACCTGAATGAACAGGGCAACTAATTATGTATCTCCTTAACTGGAAGACTGGAGATTTCAAATCCAAGCAGAGAAAATCTGAGAAGAACAGATAAATGAAAGCGGGTGAATCTAATGCAAAACTGAGTACAGATAAACTGTAAAGATCTTGATTTGCAGTCCAACAGCCAGTTACTGGAACCTCTGGAATTCTTTATCAGGTAGTAATGCTACTGTGTAATTTGTAGCAGGTCCAAAGGAAATGTGGCCAAGGAGGTCAATCTTTCATTCTGGGCTGGAAGGTTCTCTGGGAGGCAGGCCAGGTAGCTCCAAATGAGAGCTTGGCTGCCCTGGCACAGTGTAGAAGATTCATAACAAAAAAAATTAAACTAAAAACAGCCCTCACCTCTCAAGTTACCTGCCTCCTACATACTCTTTATCGAGGCTAAACAGGTCACATCATCCTTGCAATGCCACTCTATGTCAATCTACCCATTCTCATGCCCCCTGTATACTCCATGCCACTTAATGTCCTTGAATACTTTTGAGGCAAGGTAACAAGAAATTGACTAGCAAGTGATTCAAATGGATTAAGCACAGAAGTGGAGCTGAGGCTAGAGTCATAACAACCATGATCTTATCAAATGTTACAGCAAGTTTAAAGGGCCAAATATCCACTATGCTCCTAATTCATATGTTCCTATTTGTGGCTGACTGCTTGGTGACAAAGGAGGATCTCTGATGCCATAGGCCTTTCTCTTCTTAGAAACATCCAACCGTTAGGTGATCACTTGTACAATAAAAGCTACTCAGCTACCAGGAATATCATTGAACAGGCTACTAAGACCCTGAAGCTGAAGTCAAGGTATATATAATAAAACAAAGAACAACGGGTGCTGAAGATCTGAAACAAAAACAGAAATTGCTGGAAAAACTCTGAACCTTTGGCAGCATCCGTGGGGAGAAAACAGAGTTAACATTTCAAATCCAGTAACTCTTCATCAGAACGTTCTAATGAAGGTATATATATTTGACTGGGGAAGGAGTGCCCTGTACCACTAGGTTGAGAAGGTATCCATATTTGTGGTGACTTGTTGTAATCTTCACAATATGGCAATCACAGAGCACCAACTATCACCATGAGCAATTGCAACAGAGGGTAAATCACAGAAACCATGTGGAGGTGAAAATAAGGAGCGTACAGGAACAAGCTGAGAGGGATAAAACAGTATTAGGAAGCAAAGGAGAAGAAAGAGCAAAGAGACAACAACAGCCCTGGAGGATTCAAGTAGATAGCTAATTGAAATAGGTCTTGAAAGAGACTCTGGAGCACTTCTGTCATGTGATTACCTTATAGAACTTCAAGTCTATTAGAAAGTTCATCATCTCCACTCAATCCTTTTCGACCATATGACTATAAGAATATTAATTTCTTCCTCACGAAGATCACAATAGAAATGCCACTAATTAAACCTCTGCCAATTACCATAACATAGAAACACTAACAAATATTAAATGATTCACTCTGGTTTTGAGCCTTAGGAGTCAACCTGTTGTAAGTGCTCTTGTTTACTCTGGAATTTTCACAAAGTGTATACCTAAGGCGCAGCAGATCATGAGATAAATGGCTGCTGAAACTCTGAAAGAGACACCTCAAATGTTCTTCTGTGATTTTCACAATGGGACTGAGGGTCATGATAGCCTGCCTCAGCCTGAACCATTTCAGCTTGGGCAGATGCTGTACTGATGTCTGATTGGAATGAGCAAGCTTCTTAACATTGGACTGGATAGGTTTCAGGTTCTGCATTAAACCATGGACTTCACTTCCTCATAATAAATGTTCCAGAAGACAACACTTGCAGTAATCCTTCTATCCTACATGACAATTTTCCACTCCTGCTTCGTGCCTCCAATTGTGACAATCCCACTTCTAATCTAACCTCTATGAGGTTACCTCCGAGAGTCATATCAAAACCAGAAATGACACTACTCACCATAACGGACCGGACAGTATAAATTCCAAGCAGAGTAGAATAACATCGTTTCATCGGAGGCGCCACTGATGATGTCACCTAGCATGTTGACGAAACGTCTGAACGAGAACAAGGCAGCTCGGCGAGCAAGTCAACAACCTCACCCACAACCCGAGCTACAGATCTTTGCAAAAAGTTTAAACTTGGTGATAGGGTTCCTGATTCGTTTCTAGCAAAGGCATCTCTCTCATCATAAGTACCGTGCAGTCCATCACAACCAAGCGTTTCTTCTACAAAGTACTTAATTTGTGAATTTAGACTGATCTCTTTCCAAGTATTTAGTGGTAGGGTTGTGGCAATGTCACTGGTCTAGTAATTCAAAACTCCAAAACCCCGGGTTAACTTTATGGAATCTAACCATGACAGATGCTGAAATTTGAATTTAATTAAAAAGATAATATAATGGTAACCACTGTCAATTGTCGTAAAAACTCATCTAGTTCACTAATGTCCCTTAGTGAAGGAAATGTACCTTCCTTTCCTTTTCTGGCTACATTTGACTCCAGACCTACACTTAATTCATGACATATCCAGCCTCTTAAATGCTCTCTAGATAATTAAGGATGGGCAATAAATGCTGGCATAGCCAGCAATGCCCAAATCCCATGAATGAATACATTTTATAAAAAAAACTTTAACCCTAACTTACAATGTTAGAAATTCATAAACAAGCTGCATAGTTAATTCAGAGATAGTAGGAACTGCAGATGCTGGAGAATCTGAGATAAGGTGTAGAGCTGGATGAAGACAGCAGGCCAAGCAGCATCAGAGGAGCAGGAAGGCTGACCTTTCGGGCCTAGACCCTTCTTCAGAAAATGAATGCCTACACAATAAAAGGGGTTTAGAAACTCATGGAAATCTGATCGTATGCCTTGCTTTGGCCTTTTTATGAGTCCAGCAAGATAATCCATTTTTTTCTGAAGGCGGCTCTAGGCCTGAAATGTCAGCCTTCCTGCTCCTCTGATGCTGCTTGG